GTTTAAATGTTTTAAATACCGTTTTCTCAAAACAGAACATTTCATGCTTTGAGATAAGATGGCCAAGACCAATTTGATCAGTTAATGTGTTTTTTATGCATAGTGCTTCAGCAGTTGACATATATAGAGCTCAGCGGAATAATATAAATTATAGCATCTGACCAATGAGAATTTCGCGTCACAATTTGAGACGCAGATATTCAAATTCATTAGTCATCGATGCAGGCTCTCAATTCAGCTTGAGAGCCTGTTCGCAGGCTACTTAAAATGAGGAAAACATAGCGCTGCGAAGTTCGCTAATCTTGTATATATTTGTATTACATGTGGGAAAAATAACCATTTTTGAGCCGAAAGTGGTTATTTTTACCGCACATAATACAAATATACACAAAATTTTTAAACTCCACAGGGCTATATTTTCTTCATTTTACAACATTTAGCAACCAGTCTTTGCAGTTTTACTCATTCTAAGACACTCTTTCTAGCTGTGATGTTGGATTTTGTTCTTGCCTTGATCAAAATTTATGCTATAGCTGGAAGTACCCATTAGAAAGTTGAAATGTAAATTGAAATAAATGTCTGGCATGGTGTTTTTCTCCACCATCCACTTTTTGGTATATATACGTATATATAAAATATTAATTTTCTATTTCCATGGAGTGCGTGGTATGTTCATTCAAGTACAAGAAACACCAAATCCTAACAGTCTGAAGTTTGTACCTGGTGTTCAAATTATGGAATCTGGGACTGTAAATTTTGAAAATGCTCAGTCTGCAGTTGGATCACCTTTAGCAAGGTATGATCATGCAAGTTCTTTATAAGGCTACTGACTTTTGTCTACTTAAACCTAAGCCCTATGAGCATGGTCTTTGCAAGTTTAACAAATTGAACTGCAATGTGCCCAAATGAGATTTACTAAAGTTAGGATATGAGAAGTAATATTCCTAATAGATTTACCAAGTTTTCTCCATAGGCATCAAGCACTGGATGAAATGTCTCGAGGCCTGTGTTTCCTTTACAGCTAGCTGTTGTAATATCATTCTTCAATATCCTAAATATATCCTTCAATTACATTAGTTCAATTGAGTGACACGCCCAAAGTTTCTGATATTTACCCATATACCTTCGGCATCACCTTGGCATAAATACATGAACTTGTGATTAGAGGTCCATAACTGGACTGGAATTGCAGGGCCACAGGTTCAATTCCTGCCCTAACTTATAGTAAGTTGCATTTTTCACAGCTGTTCCTGGTTAGGTCTGAATAAATGTATAAATTTACACTCAAAATTTCCATCTAGTACTAATGTCATTCAAATTGAGTGCCATGCTCAAAATTCCTTTTATTTCCATTACTTTGCTTTTCAAACTTGTAGACAGCTGTTTACCATCGAAGGAATAACAGGTGTAATGTTCGGCACTGATTTCATCACAATAACTAAGGTAACTTCTAAATAAAGTGCATTTGCCCGGCCTCTTAAGTGGCAATGTGACACACCAATTTTACTCATCAAGGGGAGAGTGCTGCCACTCAATGGGTAATAGTTGTCCAACTCAATGTCACTGCATGAAAAATGGCAGTTGCATGGAAAATAGTGCACTATATGCGAGATTAATGGGTTAATTCCACTTAAACCTCACCACTCCAATGATACTTTTATTTTATAGACGAATGATGATTGTGTGGACTGGGCTCCAATAAAACCAAACATATTTGCAACAGTGATGGACTTCTTTGCCAGCAATCTGCCAATATTTACTGATGAACAGCCGAGATCTGATACAGGTTTGTGACAAAGTCACTGATAGAGGTGCTCAGGTTGGATGCGTTGAGGCTTAGGGCATGAAGAAGCTGGTATGAAATGGGATATTAGGGTGTTATCATGCATTGGAAGCCTTATACTCACTCTGAAATATAAATTTGGGTCATTCATGAGAAGAAATGTAATAAATTATTACAAGACAACTAGACAAGTTGTCACAAAATATTTCATGTAAACTATGTAAATTGGATAAAATCCAATAAATAGAAAACATGATTAGGCGAAATTCAACTGCCCGAAGTTTTGCAAACATCTCTTAGTATATATCAATTCAAAAGTGCCCTTTCACGAAAATCTGCCCCCCTTGCCTTCACATCGTTCCGGCGTCCCTGCCTGAAGATGTGAATTTGATTTTTTGTTGTACTCTGGATTTGATGTCATTAGATAATATTTTTATCAGATCGATAAAAAGAAATTTTGACAGTGAAAAAGTTGATCAAAATGAGTTTTTTTTACTATAACGATAGTACTTTTCTACTTAGACTGCACCAAATATAACATATACCAAAAATCATTTGTGGGATCCCATTGTTGATGGGATCCCAATCATGCTCTTTTTCCAGCAAACGTCCCTTCCGTATTCTCATATAAACATGTCGTTAGCACAAATTTACAGTTAGATATAAACACTAGCTGCCAATTAAACAACGCCACAAAAACAACAACGTCGTATATTTAGAGATATTAGAAGATGATGATGAGACAGTTGCAATGATAAAAGAACTAATTGATACAAGAATAAGGTAAATATCATGGATGTAAGCGGAATAATTAATTATCGTATGTATAGGTATTATAGAATGAATATTATATAATAACTACAGTGAAACACGCAATTTGATTGGTTAATAGCCGTGGAGGATCAGGCTATCCTGCACGAGGAATTAAAATGCCTTCGCGGGATTTTCGCGGGATTCACAAAATGTCATTGTTTCACTGTAGGTATTTTATAAAACAATTACCAAATGGTTTTCCAAGCAGGATAGCGTGATCCATGCACTTGAGATGTTGCTCGACTTTCGGAAAGCGTAAAAATACACTCGCCTACGGCTCGACATCCCTCGTGCATGGATCACGCAATCCTGCACGGAAAACCATTCGGTATTCCTTTAGTATAGGGCTCTCAAAACGTCCGAATAATAAACCAATTCGAAAAATGGTTGTTAGCAAAGAAGACTGACTAGTCTCGTTTTGCATGGTGCTTCTCGCACATTTCAAAGAGCTATAATTTCGCTTACATGATTGGATTGTTTTCGATTGTAAACTCCTGCACTTTGCTTTAAATAGCAGTCTCTGCTAAAAATGGTTTATTAGCCTGGTAATGCATAAAATGTACAATAAGGCAAAGTTGTGGCGGCTAGTAGTAGAATCGGTCAACCGATGGGCCCGTCGACAAATGAGATTTCACCGCAAATATGCGGGTGGGGGTTAGCTTAGAATCCGCAAATGTTTGAAAAATTGAGACAAAAACAGATTTTTCTGGATTAGCTTGACATTAAATGGCCAACGATAAGGGTGGGGCGACGATAAGGTAAGGTTGGGACAACGATAAGGTAAGGTTGGGACAACGATAAGGTAAGGTTGGGACAACGATAAGGTAAGGTTGGGACAACGATAAGGTAAGGTTGGGACAACGATAAGGTAAGGTTGGGACAACGATAAGGTAAGGTTGGGACAACGATAAGGTAAGGTTGGGACAACGATAAGGTAAGGGTGGGGCAAAGTATAAATGTAGTTAATCACGCGTGTGGAGTATTTTTGTTGTCCTAAATTCCAATATCGTTTCTTTCCATTTAGACCCACAGTTCAAGAAGATGGTGGAGACATCATATTTAAAGTATGTATTTGTGATGCGAAACATAATCCTTAAATATTATAAAATAACATGTATATAACGCGTATTCTGATTGGTCGAAAGCCGTGTTTGGATCAGGCCATCCAAACACGGAAGACTACCGTGTTGTTGTTATTTTATAAAACAATTACTTTATGGTTTCCGTGTTTGGATGGCCTGATCCAAACACTTGGGAATGTTGCTCGAGTTAAGAAAAGCGGGCAAAATCACTCGCCTTCGGCTCGTGATTTCGCTCGCTTTTCTTAACTCTCGCAACATTCCCGCGTGTTTGGATCAGGCCATCCAAACACGGAAACCATAAAGTAATTGTATATTGCTCACTTTTCATGTCATCGTTTGTTCTAGGGATTTGAGAATGGAGTTGTGAAACTTAAAATGCAAGTAAGATTTTTATGTATATCACTTATTTAAGTACTGATGACGTTCATGCGTTACTAAAAATAGGAATACCAAATAATGTAAAGACCTACAGTATTAAGAATGATTGTAGCCGTTTAATCCGCGTCTACTGTGTATCCGGCGCACGTAAAAATCTCAACGATTTAACGTCCTTATCCGAGAAGACGCGCAAGTCTAACCATTTACTCATATCAATGTAAAGATAGCACTTTCTCCTCAATTATAATTTTAAGACCGACCAAGGAGTGAACCCGGGTCTCCCAGCTTTTGAAAGCCAAAAACGACCACGAGTGCTGGTTAGCTAACAAGTTTGTTGAGTCAACAAGTCATTGACAACTTGTCATCATGCTGGGGACAAGCAGTGTGAGCACATCCTGATGATAAGTTGTTGAAACAGTATTGTTAAAGTCCGCTACAGGCTTTTACGTGTGAATTCCACATTTGTGTTAATACATCTTTTCAGGGAGCGTGTTCCACATGCCCAAGTTCCATATTCACTCTGAAGAATGGGATAGAAAATATGCTTCAGTTTTACGTTCCCGAAGTAAACTCGGTTGAACAGGTAACTATAGTATTAGTCTTATCCCAAGCTTCATCGCCAGGGTTTTGTTTTTAATTTTAAGCAATCCTACGCTTTAAGCTGATCTTCCTATATAATCCCATCCACTAATTTAATCCCATATATGCAACATCCTTGATCTGATCCAGCACTTAGGCCTGATCCAGTATCGAAGATCACACGAGACAATTTTCGCTGCATCTTGAAACACAATTTCATATTGTAACCTTTCTTGAAGCACAATTTCACATTCTCATTTCGTCTTGAAACACAATTTCATATTCTTATTTCACACGAGACAATTTTTGCTGCATCTTGAAACACAATTTCACATGCCACCCTTCCAACGAGCTTCCAACACTTTCTTTCTCTAACAGACTCTTAAGGGATGCAACATAAGAAATTCGATGAAAAATGTCGGCAGGAATAGTGGGCCACTGTGACTACCTTTTACTAGATAACGTAATCCATGCCTTCGTGTCAGAAATTGCGTTGCAAATTGAATATCTAATTGCCTGGTATAATAAAAGCAATTCACTCATCGCAAAAACCAACTTACAATCTCGCTGTGAGTACTGACATCACAATGCTCCACAGTTTATTTTGATTAAATGCAAACTCTCAAGAGAGAGCATATGTGGGTAATACGCTCATGAGATACATGAAAAAGACATCTGTAATAGCTTTATCTCTGACTCTGTACAATATATTTAGGTTGAAGACGAAGTTGATGAAATCAACAAAGAAGAATTTAAAAAGTTTGAGGACAAACTTGACGGAACCTAGTATACTGTAGTCTGTAGATGGCATATACAACTGTAATGTAGTATTGTACAAAAATGGTATCATTTGGGCAGAATGTGGAGACAACTGTCACAGTCGCTAGATCTGGCAAGGATATATTATCGTTGAATAACCTGTACAGTTTGCAGCAGTTGCTTGCTAGGCGTTGGTTGGTAATTGTAGGTCTACCCCAAAAAAAAGTTTCATACTAGTTTGCGCCGAATTTCAATTCTGTTTTTGAAAAGAAGTTTACACTTATTCATCTAGGACATATTGGGTATTTTGATCATATTAAAGATCCAAAATATCCTTAGGCCATGGGAATGAAAGTCATAGATTTGCGTCCACCGCCCGCATGCCTCAAAAGCTACCGCCTAAAATTTTCATTATTTACAAAGAAATTCATTATTTTCACAAATAAAGCAAAACTCAATAAAATTAGCAATAACATTGAGTATTGATTACAATGAAATGAACATATTGCAGTGTGTTTGTCCTCAGTATCCACATTCTATGAAATTCCAAATTATATTCACCGAAATCGCGAAATTGGCACACAGATCTCAGTGCTGCGACCACCTGAGCTCGTGATATATGTAATTCCACGGCGTGAACGGTAATTCTTGTTTTGATCTCTGTATTTACCACCGAAAAGAATGGTCAAAAAATAATGAATAATGAATAATGAAAAAAAGCCGCATGCTTTTTCAAAATTACCCGGACGCAAATCTATGACTTTCATTCCCATAGCCTTATATCCGTGCAATGGAATCATTATATTCAGATCAAATGAAGTATTTATCTTGTTTCTTGGTTATTGCAGGCTCATAAAAATAAATTTTATGAAAAATATTAAGAAAAATAATGAAATTTAGTTCGTGTTTCTCTCCTTTTAAATGGAAATATCACCATATTTCTACTCAGGAATTGAGCACTTTTCACAAAGAATATGTAGGTTGTATACGTAGTTTTCAGCTTAGTTCTGTTTCATTAAATAATATAAACAAAACGTGTGGTCATGGACACATTTTAAATTTGAAGAAGTCATTTCGGAACAGCAAATGTACCGGTAAGACTTCAATATATAGATATCCAGTACTGGTATTATTTATAATTATGTAGTTGTTTTAACTATTTATGTTAAATAAGGCCATGGGAATGAAAGTCATAGATTTGCGTCCACCGCCCGCATGCCTCAAAAGCTACCGCCTAAAATTTTCATTATTTACAAAGAAATTCATTATTTTCACAAATAAAGCAAAACTCAATAAAATTAGCAATAACATTGAGTATTGATTACAATGAAATGAACATATTGCAGTGTGTTTGTCCTCAGTATCCACATTCTATGAAATTCCAAATTATATTCACCGAAATCGCGAAATTGGCACACAGATCTCAGTGCTGCGACCACCTGAGCTCGTGATATATGTAATTCCACGGCGTGAACGGTAATTCTTGTTTTGATCTCTGTATTTACCACCGAAAAGAATGGTCAAAAAATAATGAATAATGAATAATGAAAAAAAGCCGCATGCTTTTTCAAAATTACCCGGACGCAAATCTATGACTTTCATTCCCATAGCCTAACCACAAATATACTAAACTTGTATGATGTAATAAAATGTATAATCAATAAATGTACTGTACAAATATAAAGTCGAACCAGTCTAATGACTAGAATCGCTTGAATCCATAGAGGCACAGACCTTGGCAAGTACCATAAACAGGACCAGTCACCCCCCTGGACATGTGCCATTTTTAGTATTTCCAGGGGGGACTGCTTCTGTTTACAGTACTTGTTGAGTGACGAATCATGACGAATAGAGCTTACGCAAAAAACAATAGAGATGGACTTCTGTGTAGTATTCTGTAATAGAGGGCCGCTGGCCGCACTTTGCCCCTGATGAGTAAACTGTCTGCTGTTACACAGAGTGAAATGATAAAATAGGGTACATGAAGGCACATTGCCACTTAAAGGGTTAATGTTGATTTTACTTGTCAAGGGGAGAGTGCTAATTGCACTGGATGGGTTGAACTGCCACATGGTATAAATGGCACGCTGACCCATTTGTGAATGATGCATTTCATAGGTTCAATGTGCAATTGTTTCCTGTTTTGCTATGTTTTATTGTGTAATGGGTTTGAGGAGACATTAACACCTCGCACATAGAGGAAATTGGAAGTTAATCTTTCCACTCCCATTATTTTTTTGGACATTCTAGTATATTTACTCATAGACGGATTTTCATATTTTTTACTGGGGTGGTGCCAGAAATTTTAGGGGGGTGAGCCATGAGCAGGTGATTGAAGCAACACAAAGTGTCACCAAACCCCAGTAAGGTCTATATTCTAGTGGTGGAGCACTAGAGCCACAAGGGGGGAGTCTAGAGAGCAGAAAACAAAGTATCCCTGGAAAAATTTGAAAAAAAATCATGATTTCTAGCTTCGAAAAAAAGTTTTTTGAAGAGTGTCATATCAATGGATTTGGCATGTCCGATTGTCTATTGAGACTTGAGAGAGTTAAAGTTAAATGAACCTGTACAAGTGTAAACCCAATAGGCCAATACACAATATGCTTTTACTTTTATAAAGTCATTAACATTGTATGTGTTGTTTGAATCCGAGTACAATTTATGATGCAACTCTGATGTAAATAATATTTGGGGTGTAAAGATTAAATCTAGGCAAGTCTATTTCCTAAAAGAATTAAAAACTAAAAATAATGTTTGTAAAAATTCCAAATGTTCCTTGCATTTAGCAAGCTATTTGCATGACAAGGCACAAACTCTATTCAGGGGAGAGAATAGAGTTTCAAAACTTTACAATTGCTCCAATAAACCAGTGAATGCAAGCAAGGAGCAATTAGTTTCGCAGTGTCTTTCTATTTGAGTGTTAACTTCTACATTTATTTTGTACCATCAACACTCTGCATGTTGGAGTGGACTATTTAATTATTTTTTATTATGCTGAATATTGGGGGGGGGGTTGAAAATTTTTTTGGAGGGGTGGTCATTTTGTTTGAGGGGGTTATAGCTAATATTGGGGGGGGTAGCACCCCCCACAAAATCCATCTATGATTTTAGTATCATCAAGAATGACCTTCCCCCCCACCCACATCAACCCCCTCCCCCAGATGGCAGACATTTCTATAGGGGGAGTATCAATTTCTGGAATGATCCAGTGCCAGAAATTTTACCTGCATAGGGGTAATTTGATATCATGTTAGGATATACCATCTCTTGATACTTACTAATTAAACCACAATATGCCCTAATACAATATACTTTTAATTGATCAATGAGAGACATGGGTACAGGACATTGGTTTATATTTATCCCTTTAAGTGTCAATGTTCCCTAGCTGATGCACTTTACTTTGTTATTGTACTCTAATGCCAGACAATTTCACTTGTCAATGGGAGAGTGCTGGCCTCAATGGGTTAACATGTGCAAGGATTAATAAATTAATCTGGTAGGCAATTATAATTTAAAATACAAAAGTGCACATTTGTCATGTATTAACTTTGAATTAATATTTTTGAGAATTTAGGTTCTGGGTTTAGAAGATGCTTCTCCAAATATGTTAGCCCCAACAAGAATTCTATTTACTTTGACACACATCTCATGGTCACTGACCTTCAAAAGTGTGGTATGTTGTTTTAGAGTATAGTAATTGATAAGTATAATTTAGGACATAGTTATTGATAAGCAGTTTTATGTTAATGCTAAAAATGGAAAAGTTATCAAGTTGGGTTTGACACATTTGCTTTAACTAATGTTGCATACATGAAAACGAGGCATTATATAGCTGAAGTGACATACTTTCTAGAAGGGTGTATTGGCCTTTTTCGAATTATGTTTTAAGCTTATAACAGTGATTCAGTGAATTTGATATATTTTTTTTATAACATGTAGGCTTTTCTTTGGAGCAATCTGAAGTTATAACTTCTGCAATCACTGATATTGTTCACTCTGCTGTTGGAAATGTCAAGGGAGATTCTGTCTCTAGAGTTGAACAGGTGTGTGAAAGTTTCCATTGATTGACAAATTATATAGATCTTATTCCACTGTTCAAGTTAGGATATTATAGTTTATAGAGCTCGGAGAATGCACCCCCAACCTCCCCCCCTCTTTGCCCCTTGCCTAATTCTTTGCTGAGAAGCACCACCTCACACGTACCACAACTACAGTATACTGTACCAGTGTACCTGAATTTTATATTTTGTTTACATAGGAACAACTTGAAGTGAGATTAAAGTCATTAATAGAAAAAGTAAGGTATATAGTAAACAGTACTTGATTTATTCTCAGTATCATATAGTGTAAGTAATCTTCCCAATGACCTAAGTACTCTCATCCTGAAGTACTGTAGGAACCGGTAATTTAGATTTTACCATTTTATGTTCAGACATATATGAAACTCATTTACTATAGTTCTAAATGACGATTTTGTGTGTGATTTCTAAAAACAATTAGATTAATCTTGAGAATTTTTTCAAATTAGAAATGATATGATAATTTTAGAGAAAACAGAATTTGTTCGAATGAAAGATGAATGTGCGGTATGTGATTGATGTATTTTTTTCTTAATATAACAGCTAGTAGTTCATGAGTACAAGAAGAGAAGAAGCATGTAGGAAATTAATTAACTCACTTCGAGACCAAGATTCGCCACACAACCCTTTAATTGCAATAGTTAAATCCAGTCTATCAGAACGAACTCATAATTATGATCTGCGTAATAATAACCCGCAACTCTTACCGATAATGTCTGAACGGTTAAAGAACTTTTTTGCCATTAAATATAGTTAACATTTTATGAATGCATTTTTATAATAGGTAGTTTAATAGTTAGAGTATATTATCGTAATTTACCCTAATTTAGTATAGAATACATATTATCATACTATATAACATTGTTAACGTAAATTTTAATATTTAATAATGTAAATATTGTTTCCATGTAATTCAGCTTTAGCTGCAAAATGGATTTTATTAAACTAATAATAATAATAATAAAAGTCTTATAACCTAACTATGAAATTGTCTCTTCTTCATTTTAGAAATTGAAAAGTGAAGTGGCTGCTCTTAAGTTATTGCTACAGGTAATCCATGTAACACCATGTTATACACAAGCCTGCAATTTAGCTTACAACGTAATTTTGGATACACAGCCATATGTGCATGATCGAAAAAGCAGTCATGGTTAAATTGTTAGCATGGCCTGCATGTGGTTCTGCCAACACTTTCTTTACAAAACATATGCTTAAGAATGAAAGTTGTTCTTCGTCAATATTTGACGGAAAATTAATTGTTACAGGCTTTAAAATATCTTTTCCAGGGCCGTCTGACAAAATGTCCGATGACGTTGAGTTTGGATCGGACATATGTCCGATGACCTTCAGTTCAGTTCTGACTCGGAAATTAAAGTCTGAATGACACAAATGAATATCAGCACAATGTATTAATTCTAAACGGTAAATGTTGTGAAGATATTAAATAATTTGTGTCATTCATACTTATTTCCAAGCCAAAATTAACTTGCTTGCCAGAACAGAAGTAAGACTTCGACAACTTAAGCCCGTTTTCCACTTCACCATTTCGCTAGCACGTCGCCGCCCCGCGCTCGATCAGCCTACGTTAAAACAACATTTCCATGCAGTTTACTTTTTATACAATACTCAATTGTCCTTTATTTTCCATTTACTATACGAGCCTTATACTGCGGATTGATTTACGTTGGACAAAGCTACAGTTCGGTTGGACACCAATACACTCGGGTCGGACAAACAGTAAACCCCAGTTTCACTTATGTCGGACAGAATGTCCGGTGGCTTCCTCACTATACGTCGGACAATTTCACGAATGGGTCGGACAATGTCCGTGACCGACCGATATTTTAAGGCCTGATTGTTATATATCAAAATCTAACAGGGAGAACAGTTTTTCATCACAGCATTCTACAAAATTAATTAGTGCTTTCGTAACATTTCGATATTATGAAACTTATTTCAGTAGTTTTTATGCTATACGAAATCAAATAGTGTATAGTTTTGTGGGGGACACTTGGTGTTTCAGAAATTTATTAGTTGCAGAAAAAATTACTTTGTGTAACGTATAAATGATCTGATATTTACATCTGATTAGTGATCCGACCACATTTTATTTGTAAAGTTGTTGTTAACCCCGCCCCCAAAAAGGTTACCGTATGCTTTCTCGGATCGTTTGTTTCAGTCACCGTTAAACTGCTTCCATTCCAGGAAGAAGTGGTGAAGTTAAAGTCCAGTCAAGCATTAGATACGAGTTTGGAAAGAAGTCGAGTAAAGGAGGAGGTAAAACTCTATTTATGTTTTGACTTATCATCATTGCTTTTGCTTTATTCAGAATATTATGGACACCGGTCATTGTCCTGTTGCATTTTCCATAGAAACTAGTAATCTGACGCAAATAGTTCGACGAACAATAGCCCAATAGGGTTTTTGTAGCTGGAAATTTTGAGTGTAAATTTTTTTACTTTTTGTACCTAACATAGAGGGGCTCCGAACTGAAATGCTACTATAGACCCATTGCACATGACGTCACAGCGCCGGTGACGATGCATCTGGAGGACAAATTAGCAATCTAGGCATAATATAACTTTCGTAAACAAAGCAAATTTTGTAAAACTTTATAATAATTTTGTATTAAAATGGTTAATTTTGCGCTGTATGTGGTTGTTGTACCCGAACAGATATTGTTAGGGACTAGCATCTGAAGGACACTCTAAGGATTTGTGACGTCAGTGCAATGGGTCTATAGGTCCTGTGGCAGGAATCGAACGGGTTTGTAATCCAAGTGAGAATATATATGTTTTAAGACCTGACCAGGAAAGACTGCGAAAAATGCAGCACAAGGTCCTCTGGTAGGAATTGAACCTACGGCCCTGCGATTTCGGTGCAGCGCTCTAACCAACTGAGCTACAGAGGCCAGCTGTTGAGCTGTAACCGCAAGTTCATGTATATATAGGTAACCAACTGAGCTACAGAGTCCAGTTGACAAGCTTTATTAACCACAATGTAATGTTTTCCATATATAGCAAGATGATGCCAGTGTATGAGGTTTAGAGCTTGGCAACTGTACTCTGTAGCTCAGTTGGTTAGAACGCTGAGCCGGAGTCGCAAGGTTCCATTCCTGCCAGCGACCTATAGTTGCATTTGTTCGCAGCTGTTACTGATTAGGCGTAATAAATGTATACAAACGAACACTTGATAATTTCCATCTACAAAACCCTTCAATTATTATTCAATCGAGTGAGATGCCAACAAAATCTTGATATTTACCCATAAGGTTTATGGGTATAAAATATCACAATGGACAACTTGCATGCCAGACTAAATTTTAATCTAAGTAAAGGGAAGGGAATCAAACACAACAGTTAAAAAGAACATAATGAAATTAGTAAAATTGCAAAATTTGGTTGCGAAATGTTGTAAAATACAGAAAATATAGCGTTGCGAAGTTTGCATATTTTCAGTATATTTGTATTACGTGCGGTAATTGTTACCATTTTCGGCTCAAAAATGGTAACAATTTCCGCACGTAATACAAACATACTGAAAATATGCAAACTTCGCAACGCTATATTTTCTGTATTTTACAACATTTCGTAATCAAATTTTGCAATTCCACTGATTTTGATAATTTCTTTACGGGAATTTACTTTCTTTTGTCTAAATAAAAAATTAGTCTAACATGCAAGTTGTCCTATTAACCAAGTGAACGCTCTAACAAACTGAAGTACGCCTACAGAGTTCATTTTTCGAGCTTTCTGAAAATTTTCAGTAATTTTCGTTGTTTTTTTCTTTATATATAGTTCCAATTTCGCGACCAGAAAATAAAAGACAATAACAATCGAATTGACACAGAAGTAAGATGTTTATAACATTACATTGTCTTGTATATTAATTGATTTAATTTGTAGATGTATAGAATTACAACGTACACGACAACACATAAGGATTTTCTTCAACTGTTTTTATGAAGGTTGCTAGAGTGGAAACGAAGATAGAAGCCCAGAAATTAGATCTTCTTAAATATCTTGTTGGTAAGTTGGTTGAAAATGTTCTATATATATGTTTACCAGAACAGTTTTTCATCAAGGCGTTCTACAAAATTAGTGCTTTCTTTACATTTCCATAAACATCACGACTATATACAGTACTTTCATTTCATTCTCGTTTTTGTATTTTAATTTGTGCGTTTACTTCGTAAAAAGAAATCCATATGAAACTAGTGGGCACTCAAAGACCACCACACCTCCGCCAGGGAATTAATTCAAGTGTCATGCATAAATTATACATTGGGCTAATTACGCATTCAGTTTCTCTGCCCGGCCACAGAGTAATTACATACAGAGGTCTCACTTCTGCAAAAAAACCATAAGGTAGTTTTTACTGAACATATCCAGCTCATATCATGGCGGACATGTTCTTAGCAAGTGCCCTAGCTAAAGAGAGGCATTCACCCCCTGGAACATTCAATAACGTTTGAGCAATGGGAAGCCTCGCAATGCCTCGGAAGGTCGTCTCCAATTGGATGGGGTTTTTCTAAAGAACAAAGCAATTTATTGTTGTAAACACAAAAGCAATTGTCAAATCGAGCCAATGAAAATCACTCTTCCGAGCTACTGCGAGGCTACCCGGAGCAATTGCGATTCTTCCTGTAACTCGTAAAATGTGAGGGTCAAGATGGCGCCGTATGGGGGAAAATATTGCACTTGTCATATCTTTGAAACAAGTTCCGTTTCTCCAACTTTTTTTTTCCATTTTTACTATGAACATATCATAAGCTTCACCAGAGCCGCCGAGAGGGGGGGGGGGAAATTGCCCCGGGCCCCGAGGTACTGGGGTCCCCTGAAAAATTTTAGTTGGGCCCCAGTGTTTTTTCTGTGTTAAATATTTCCGCGCAAAGGACAACATATCTGTTTTATTGGGTTAAGTACCGAAATTAGGCATAAAAAATGAGATAAAGTCCCTGAAAAGTGCGTGCAATCTACTCGTCCGGAAAAATTTTTGACCCCTAAAATGGTACACTGACCAAAATTTTTTTGGCGACGGGGGGGGTTGTTGTCCGGAAAAAAAATTTTCCGGAAAATTTTTTTTCAAAAAGGGGGCCCCAAAAAAATATTTTGCCCCGGGCCCCCGCCAACCTCTCTGCGGCACTGAGCTTCACCCCCGGGAAGTTTCAGCAAATTCTCATTTCCAGAACCGTTACTGACGAATCACCTTTTAATTTTTATTATTTTCATTTTGATTCCAGGTAGTGTTTTATCTTTCACCACCATATCACTTGCATTCTGGCGATTTTTTCGAATGTGACATTCCCATGAATCCCATGCCATAATACATCACTGTAATAATTTTATTTATTAATAATAGAATAATCCCATTTTATTTAAAATTCGTATAACTAGTTTTAAAGTTTTAACGTAGGTTAAGACATTAAAATAGAACATTTACATTAAGGACTGCAAGCCCAAAATCAAATTATCGACAACACTTTTTACTCAAAACTGTCAAACGACTTACTAGTCAACCATTTACTACATATTGTAAAAGAATGAAGACATTATCAAGAAACGAATACGCTGTACATATACCACATCAATATTTCAGGTTTCAAGTAGTTCATTAGTAATATGCATCGTCAATGTATAACATGCATCGCATGGGTGTCATCAAGGGGTGTCATATGTCAGATATGCTGGGATCCGGGTATACACTACCTTGGATCTGGGGGTTTTGCTGAAGCTGTAGCCTGCACTCAGGCGGTGCTGGCCAGCCTCCTAAAACGGTGATCGCTAGATAGTATACTTCAAAATAAGGTTTCCGTTTTTATAACGTAGAAAAAACTATCCTAACACAAAACTAAACCCTAACCCTAATACTAACCCTTACCCCAACCTAACCTAAACCTAACCTAACCCTAACTTATTTTAAAAATTGATATAAAAACGGAAACCTTATTTTGAAGTATACTATCTAGCAATTGCCCTCCTAAAACTCTGACACCAGAAAACCTCTGAACCCAGGGTAAGTATAACTGTCTACACTCGCAAAAATCTCACATCTTGTAGTAAGTCTACCAAACCTTCTACATGGTGAAATTGTGCTATACCGTGGTGTAATTACTGTATTTCCTGGGGTCAAAATATGGTCAAAAAAAGAAAAAGGTCGGACAGTTTATCTGAAGGTATCATTTGAATGCGCGATGCGGAATTTTTTTACCGGAATTATTTGTCGTGAAGTGCGAAAAAATTACTGGAATTTCTTGGCAATATTTTTGTTCACTGACCTCTTTATAAAACTGGACAAAGTGCTAGAATATGTCCAGTTAATGTGTTCAGATCAGTGACTGTACAGTACAATGCGAACGTGAATGCCTTGAATGGGCTTTGTCAACTAACACAATATTTTAATACTGGCACATGCACCGTTCATTAAGTGATGTTGTCCTTGAAACATACGGGGGAAATAAACATATTCTTCGGATTATTTTGATAAAATGGCGAACAATTTGCTGAAAGATATGGGCAATAAAGAAAGCTTGAATTCTGCTGAGAACGATGCCAGTTCGGCTGTTGTCGAGAGCAGCGAAGCCAACCGAATTCAAGAGCGTGCTAGTATTGCAGGTATGGAATTATGTGTTGGTGTATTATGACTTTAAAACATTGACTGTGGGTTTATAGCTGGGGGAATATATTCTAATATGTTTAGGGAACTTTCGTTTGTGTAGGGTGTTGTATTTTTCTCCGTAGCTAATTTGTTATGAATGCATTCAATGGTATTTCGAGGAAAATACGAAAGGAATTCAAAGAAATTGGAAATTTAGTAAATTACAGTAAATCCACTTGCCTCACTAAACACTGCGTAAAAGTCGTACGTATGCCAAATCATGTTATCAGAATGTGTTATCGAATGCTAAATCGTCACTGAGAACAACAGACCGAATATATTTGTAGACATACACTATAAAAACTGTGAAGTGCAATTAATTGGCTCTTTATAGTGATCGATGTATTGAGTCGAAACATGTCCATCACTATTAAATTAATTCACTATAAAATTATGTTGCACAACTCTTGGTTATGCTAACATTTGACAGGCAGGTATATAGCTGGTGAAATTTTTTATGTAAAAAAATGCATATATAAGTGGATTTTGTATCCCAACAATTTCCTGTATTTCAGAGAAAATTGGAAGAGTCTTGCCTGTTGGAACAATCCACCAAAGGCATTGCATCTAAGCCTAGGTGCTCACAGCTCAACTTTAATTTGTCATTGGGCTATTACATAAAAGTAAAAACCAAAGCCCCCTGTCGAGACCTCTGCTTTTGGGGGGAATTTTTTTCCCCTCTGCTTTGGGGGATTGTTACCCCTACTGGTATGCAAAAGAAATCTGTGTAATTGACTCTTCTGGAAAAGACTTGAAAACCGCATTTTTCTCTTATTTTCTTTGATTACCCCTTAGTAATCAAGGTCCTCACAAGTGCTGCGGGTGTTAAATGTAATAGGGCCCATGAAAACATGCTGTTTATAGTACGTGTGGATTGGTATTATAACGGTCGGCAATCTGCTGTTGAATAAACAGAAACACTAATGACAGATTAATTTTATTCTGCAAGTACATTTTGACTGATCAAATAAATTTAAAATATGGTATATTATTCGATCTTTCATTGAAGCTTTCATTGAAGCTTTCATTGGTCAGGATACAACTACCTGAAAAATATAAGGAGAATTTCCATGTTTTGAGCAAAGGCTCTTCGCCTGGAGTTCAAAGTTCACAATTTGAAATCTTTCAGCACTATCCAGTGGGATACAAGAAATTTGAAATCTAGCGTCCACCGCGAAAATCTGTATCCCACGTTTGCCTAGTAATATTCAAAGTTGGTGAAATTTCTATGTAATATGAATTACAAAAATTATGACTTTTCAGGCGTGGAAAAAAATGACCAAAATCTTTCAAAAGTGTTCAAATATGACACTGGTCTAAATGCCAAGGGTCCCACTCAATTTCCGAAATCAGCGGACAGTAGGAAAGCTGTGACAGACACTCAACCACAACGATCGTTGCCACAACAACTCGCAAGCCATCCTGGCTTTACCCAGGATATATCTGCAGCCAAAGACTTTCTACAAAGCTATGCCAACATGCAACAGCCAATGTTTGCCACGTCTGGTTATGCGAATGGTGGCTCGGCATTCACCGGACCAATGATCCCACCGATGCTGGTACAGCAACCAATGCAAATGCCAGCGAATTTACCAGGAATGTACCAGACTGGATTTATGTACCAGGCGTTACCAGAGCTGAAATCAAGTTACCCCAAATCACATTATTTTCCACCCTTCACAAAGGGTTCGCTTATCATGCTCTCTGCTGGTGGATTAAAGCCCATAGAAGACCTCAAAACTGCAGACTTCATCGAAAGTGCAGAAGTATCGAAGCAGCTTAGTTTGGAGACTTGCAAGATTGCTAAAATACAGGATGTACCAAATAGCGCAATTACACTCATTGGATTTGCTGTGGAAAATTATGAAAAAGAGGTAAATATGTGATGATGATGATTTATTTGAAAATATGTTGCTTATAATTTTTGTTGAAGGGTTTTTTGTATATTGATCGAAATTTCAAGTGATTTCTGGCCCCCAGAATATTTTACTTCTAAAGGGCCAGAAGAGAAAGATTACAGAACATTGCAACAAATCTTGCATGGTTCTTCGAGTCCTGTTTATACCTTGCCCATTTAGGGTCTATATTCTATTAATAGTTTGATTGAATATTTTATATGTTTTCTTTGTAATAATGATTAATTGACCCTAATAAAGATGATAATAATAATAAAAAAATATATATAAATGAAAAAAAATAGCAAGAAATAGTGATGAGCCGATTAATCAGAAAATAATTGATAATTGGCATAATCAATAATGTTCGATTGTTGCACGATAATCAGTAAAATAATCTACTGTTAGAATTAGATTAACATTAACTTCCACATCCTGAATTTGAATTTATCATTATTTAGCCTAAATTTAACATTTCAAACTCTAGATTAACAAAGTAAAGGTTTGGTGATTGTTGCAACTACAGTATGTTCTAACTTAGATAGAATACATGATAGTGTTGGAAAAGCATTAAGAACAGTGAACCAAGGTTGTGTGACTGTTAACTCTCATGCACTCCCATCCTCGTTTGATCCAGCCTTTTTGTTAAATTTGTCATTCTGCTGTTATCTTTAACATCTGAAGTTATGGTTTGATTCATAAAACATTTTGAAAACTTAGTTGCTCATCAATATGCTAGTACTTACAACCTAACTTTTTAACAAAAGTATTTTGGAGTCATCTCCTTTTTTGTTTAACTAAAACTTCGGTGAATACTTTACAGTTGATTATAAAACTTTTTTCTGTTGTTTAAGGAGGGAAAATGCTGGACTATAATGACTGGCAACATAATGATTTGATAATGTAGGCAGATGGCGATTAATCGGCCAATTATTTGGTATAATTGATCCTCAAATAGTCTGTCTCAGTATAATCAGCAATTTTTGTGATCGGCAGGCCTTAAAATATCGGTTGGTCATGGATATTGTCCAACCTATTGTGAAATTGTCCGAAGTAGAGAGGAAACCACTGGACATATTCTGTCCAATTTAAGTGAAACTGAGGTTTATTGTTTTCCGACCCGAGTAAATTGCCAGTGTCCGACCTGACTGTAACTTTATCCGACGTGAATCAAAATGTCCAGGACTAGAACCTTGTATGTTAAAAGGAGAATCAGAGTAATGTGTGAAAAGTGAACTGGAAATTAATTGTACTCAAGTGCGATTCGTTTTCACCGTGGGGTTCGGAAATTCATTGCCAAGATTCAAATGACTTTTCCGAGTTTTGCTGATATTAATTTGTCTCTGCATGCATTGCATATTATTTCCAAGCCAAACTGAACTCAAAGTTATCGGACACCCATCAGACATCACAATACATATCTCCGACCCAAAACTCAAAGTCATCGAAAATTTTGTCAGGCGGTTCTCTGACCTATATTGTAAGGCCTGTCGGCTCATCTCTAACAAAAAAAAACATAGGCAATGATCTGTAGATAGTGAGATGAAAAATTGATGACGTCAACTCGGATCGGAGATTATGGTCTGCTTTACCTTTGTGTTTCCCTCTTGACAGACTAAATCGCGTGGTAGTATAGGAAGAGTGAAATAATAGAGTAGGGTACATTGCTGCTGAATAACATTTTAAAATGTTTCATGGTGTTTAGGTGTTGGTAGAAAAGCCATCGGATCATCCGTTCTTTGTTTACAATCAAGGATGGGCGTCGTGCAAGCCTGATGCAACTTTGGTACAGTATGGTTTGCCATGCCAACAGCTGAAGCTTGGTGACGTGTGCGTTTTTCTTTCCGACAGAATAGACAATAGATCAGATACGTTAACGGGTCTTGATGGAAAAGCTACCGTCGATGATGGAGTTGGGAGAAAACAACCCAGTTTTGGCGACGCCAACAAATTTTTGACATCGCAAGCTGCCAACGGGAAAGAGTTGTTATCCCGAGATGGACAACAGAATGGAAGTAAAACTGCAAGTGAAAAAGGTTACAAGACAGGTTCGCCGTTTGATAATGTTGAAAAATTAGATGATAACTCATTCGGGCAACCTGTGGTGAAGAAAGCCAAGCTAGATGGTATGGCTAGTAAAACTATTCAAGACGCTGTTACAAATTAATTTTTAACTTTTTAGAATTTAGATGTTTTAGAAAGAATTTTAGAGCTCATTTATTATTTATGCCTGGGTGGTGTTGGTACCGCGAAAAGAAACGACAATATTAAGCCAAATGGTGCTACTTATAATCTTGTGAATCAGAATGTATGATTCTGTATGGGGCTGCATGCATCTGATATGACTTTGAAGCATTCACATTTGGGTACTTGTTTCAACGCCAATAGGTATACTATTACTGCCCTTTGGTGAAAAAATTCTGCGTACAGCCATGGTCGTTATTTAGCTCTTTTGGTTATTTGGTTGTTAAGAATTTTATTTGTACAAAACAAACATTCGTGTTTGAGCCTTTGATTTAACAGAAATTTGTTTTAGTTGCTGGGATACACCACGTATATTTTATTGCTGCAAAGCTTTCGATCTGTTAGCCAGGCTGTATCATCATCAGTTATAAAAAACAGGTTCACACAACCAATTTCATTATGGAACTAACTCCAGGTATAATTAGTGAAAGATCCCTTGTTCTTATATATCCAGTTATCCTTTTTAATGTATTTGTAGTTATACTTTTGAAACACGTAGTTCGTTTCGGTATTTTAACTTTTCCAATTTTTTGGAATATAATTGTAAATAGTTTATAATATATATATTATATATATCACTGTTCACATTATAGTTGTGCAATGTACATAATGTAGAAATTTCAAAATATAGCAAATATAATACAGTGTAGAATGATTCCCCGGCGTTAATGTTAAACTTATAATTGTGTTATTTTTCAGTTGTTTCCACTGGTCTACTATTAGATCGGTGGTTGTCTCGTACTCCTGCCAGCCACGCAGGCGCTAGCTTAAAAGGAAATTGCGCAAGAGCAAATGGAGAAAAAAGTCGGGCTATATAAGTTGCAAAATTCAGACCTAAGCGCGCGCTCATGATAACGTCTCGTCTTCACCAACATGGCGTTGGAGCGGGAGTTCTAGTCTAAAAATGGTGGACGTTGAAGAGCTATTGAGTATTGAACGTCAACCCAGTCTCTTTCTATTTTTTCTGCGCGGTCGGACACGAAGCTGCCAGGAGTGTGGCGAAATTTCGTAATTTGACTTCGATTTAAAGACTAATACTATAATGGTTTTATGAACTGATAACTGGATTAGCGATACGGTCCGTTAGAAAAAACTGGAGTTAGCTGGGGGGGTGGGGGGACTGTTTACGACTTTCATAGCTATTGAGCTTCAATTTTCGCCATCGTAATTAGCGTTACTTTTCTCATAGGCCGAATGACTGAAGTTCTTGTTCCAGATATGTTACTGTCTCTAGAAGATACTTTTTATAGTGACTGTGCTTTCGATACTTGTTTTTAAGCTGTATGGGTACATATTAACATTCGTACGCGCTGCATTCAGGTGCCCCAAATTTAGAATAATTACCAAATAGTACATGTACACAACTTTGTGATTTAGGCTGAAGGTTCGATTGAAAAATATTCGGTATTTTATTTGAACCTGTGATTTACAAATTATATTTAATATTCTATATCATGCAATACTGTAATTATAGTAATGTTATTTTCCTAGAGAAACTCGTGTTTATGGGGTTTAAGAATATCAAATCTTGTAACCTTAATGTTGAAAATTCAGATTTTTCAAATCACCATTCTACTATCGCCCACTGGCTTCATTTGTCCATCTCAGGGTTTTTGGCCGTTTTCTTCTGTGGGCACACACGATTCAGCCTCTTGTGAGGCTGCGCTCCTGTGGGGATGCCCCTCTGCGTGCCGTGCATGGTGGCATTGGTGACAGTGCGGTGGTTGTGGGGTATGGTAGGAGAATCTGTGATTACAATCCTGTGATGGTCTTTGTTGATGTGTTGGTTGTTGATGGTCATGGTACCTCTTTACATCTTTCAAGTCAATCGTATCATTAGTGCTATTATGTGGTGGTGGTTGAGTTAGATAAGATGGTGATGGATATTCACATCCGGGATTATGCTCAATAGTTGAATTTTCGATATTCTGCAAATATAATTGTGAAACATAATAATTCATGAAGAAAACACAAAAGAAATCATGAAAGTGAAGGAGTTTGTATACCTGATACAGATATCATGCTGATTTATAAATTTAATATTTAACTTTAATTTTCTCACCAAATATCATTCATTTATTTTAAATTGTTGAAGAATACGAAAGTTCTCATCAAGACGTTTCACAAGCCATTTACAACATTCGCGTTTTCAGTTCGAGTTTGTATATCCGATATACAACACGACCGCTCATGTTGTAAATAGTACATATATACAATCTTTGACAATATAAATTGGGACAATCTAGTTTTCACATGCATTCGGTTGTAATATACCATTTCGTGATACATTCCCATAGTTTTTTGCAAAGATTGTAGAAACGAAGAGTAAATGTCAAATACAAGAAAACACGAGAAACTACTGTAGAGGGCACTTGGAGACTGCATACCTCCGCCAGCGAATTAAATTAGGTATCATGCATAAATTATCTAATGCCTAATTATTTATACTCTCCCCGGCAAAGCAAGGCAAACTTTTGTTAATTTCGCACTCAAAATTTTCTTTACCCAACCCTTTTCTCTTCGGTGCCCCCATAATAATGACCCATTGTAGTAGTCAGAGTGTATAAACATACACTTCATTAAGTACTATTTACAACATCAGCGGCCGTGTTGTATCGGATATACAAACTCGAGCCGAAGGCGAGAAAGAAAATTTTGTAAAATGTGATTGGCCGACACAAATTTCAATACGTCGGGAAAAAATATGAAAATTTTCAACTTTTAACAATGACATTTTCGGAAAATTTTCTGTCCGTGGAAATTTTTATTTGAGCTATGGTAATTTCACATGTGAGAAAAATTAATCGTCTGACCAATCAAAACGCTGAGACGATAAATTTCCTGTACGTCTGAAAACTATCGTCTGTCCTGAGGATACGATTTTTATTTCACCCATCTGCTGCATGGGAATCTCTAATCAATAATAATCAATTTAGATCAAGGCAACACTTTATAACTATTTTCTAGAAAGTCAAGATCTTCTACTAGGCTTGTACTAGCCCGCGTAGCAGACCCGCCAATACCGTCTGGTACACAGGCTACATTTCTACTCGGCAAATTTGATAGCAGCAAAAATAAATCCGGTAATGATTGATGAGCGATAAAATTCGCTGCGAAAGAATTGGATCTGTTCCTATTCTAAAAAAGGCTTTAGCGTAACAGTGCAATTAATTAACGTTTCTTTAATCATTAATAACATTACAACATCAGTTATATTCATCTTTGACATGTATTTTTGTATCAGCTACTATTAATACGTATAGTTACAGTAAATATCGAGGTAATTATGCAAGGTCTTTTTAACTACCCATCAGGAACCAAATACAATATAAGTTGTCATGTGATCCTAACAGTCATTTTCGGCAGTTACACATTATGACGTACTAAATACATTATTAAGTTGTTGGGTAACTCTTATGAAAGTCGTACGTCTGCTCAACTCTTTCAGCCTCAATGCACCAACATAAGTACAAGCTGATCTCAAACCGCCAAGCATATCAAGTACTGTATCTTTCACATTGCCTCGGTATGGTACCTCGACTGTCTTGCCTTCTGAAGACCTAATAGTGAAAAACAATAATTCGTTTTCAAAGCTCACCGTTGAGGAAGACCGAAAGTACAGTTTCATGTTTCCGGAAGGTGGGCAAACCAGGAAACATTGTTTCCTAGTCATGTTTGTCGAAGGTGGGCAAACAAGGAAACATAGTTTCCTAGTCATGTTTGTCGAAGGTGGACAAACAAGGAAACATAGTTTCCTAGTCATGTTTGTCGAAGGTGGACAAACAAGGAAACATAGTTTCCTAGTCATGTTTGTCGAAGGTGGACAAACAAGGAAACATAGTTTCCTAGGCATGTTTGTCGAAGGTGGACAAACAAGGAAACATAGTTTCCTAGTCATGTTTGTCGAAGGTGGACAAACAAGGAAACATAGTTTCCTAGTCATGTTTGTCGAAGGTGGACAAACCAGGAAACATAGTTTCGCAGTCATGTTTCCCGAAGGTGGACAAACCAGGAAACGGTGTTGTCTACCCATGTTTCCCGAAGGTTGGCAAACCAGAAAACCGTGCTTCCAAGCCATGTTTCCTGAAGGTTGACAAATCAGGAAACATTGTTTCCAGGCCAAAACTTTTCCAAAGGTAGACAAACCAGGAAACAGTGTTTTCTTGCAATGTTTTTCGAAGATGGGCAGAAAAGGTACATATACTGTTCAATACTGGCCATGTCATCAAAGGTGAAGTGCTGTTTACTCCATTCCATCCAAAACATAGTATTACCTGTATTCAGCAATGCCACCAGCGTGTCTCTGCATGGCAGTGGAAGAACTCATTCCATAGAAAATCTTAAATTTCTTTCCATCTCGCTCGATCAAGTCACCACCTTAAAGACGAAAATATTGATGATGTAATCAAAGCTTACATCGATCAAAGCTTACATCAATGCTTAGTGATGTAATCAATATAATCAGCGCCCAGCTAAGCAGCTTGTAGCGGTGTGCTAGAATAAAAATCCAGGCTGGTATTGAAGTTGGGTAACTCCGTGTGCTTGAAAACTCATACCTGACTGGTCATGACCCGCAAACATGCCGCCCAACATGACAAAATCAGCACCAGCTCCTAATGAAATGAATTTACAGGAATGTTATTTCAATTCTACGAGCTGTAGAGATTCGTGTGGTTTTGTCGATAAAGTCCGTTAAGATAAGTGTTCAATTTAAGTTTCATCTTACCAAAAGCTTTTGCAATATCACCTGGACATGTGCAACCACCGTCCTATTCAAACAGATGAAATTCAAAGAGTCAGGAAGTTTTTTTTTCCTTTTTCGAAAAAATAATCATATTTTTTAAACTACATTTTAAACTTGTATCCTGGGCAATTAACAATTGACATGGTACAAATGATTGTCTAGTACAACTCTAAATTTTCAACACAAATGTTATTCAGGACAAACAAAGTAAATGACCAACAAAAAAGTTACTATATCTTACGCCATTGTACATGTTACATAATATTCAAATGCATAAACACTTTATTACCGAGACAACGTGTCCCTTTAGACCATGGGCTGCATCGGCAGATTCCAGCACCGCACTGACTTGTGGGTAACCAACTCCAGTTTGTTTCCGGGTGGTGCAAACAGAACCTGTACAATGTCAAAAGTTCATTAAATAACTCCGAGATCTATGCAGTATTGACTGCACGTAAATATATGCACATGTGTTCAGACTACCCAAAAGTGTGTATGTTGCTACAGGTTTTCCCTAGAAATGCAGTAGCTGTGTTCCAAATTTTTACACAGCTAATTTTTTAGCATCGAAAATTTTTTAGGCATCGAAAATTCAATCTAAGAGATCAATTTTGACACTAAGATCATGAAAAGATTATTAAAATTGAACATCATTACAATTGGTCAAGTAGAGGTAATCAAGCACATTGACACTTTACAAAACTTCGTCGGGAATAATCTTAGTGTCGAAACTCATCTACGAGATTGAATTTTCGACGCCTACTAAGTATACTGTAATTAGTTGTGCAAAATCAGGAACGCAGCTACTGCATTTCTTGGACAGCCTGTATAAATATAATAAACTTAACGTTCGCACATTCAACGTAAAATGTTCGGTTGTCACTTTCAACAGAGACATTACACACAAAGTCAATCAATCCTACAGGTAGGAGGTTACAATTATCTCTTTCTAAACCGCACGAAGCATAGTTTATGTACGCGAACACTTCATTTCATTTCCTGCGGACAAAGCAGCATGCTGTATAATCCTTCCGCAAAAGGTTCTGCGACTCTTTTTATTACCTGGCCCAATGCCAACTTTCACTATATCAGCTCCGTTAAGAATAAGTTGTTCCACCATTTCTCCTGTCACAACGTTGCCAGCCTGGTTAAACACACAGAAAAATAGCAATGGTGGGTGAAGACTAAAACGAGCAACAAAATTGCTACAATTCACAACAAAAGTTTTATTTCAGAGGTGTCTTTATTAGAGAGAAGTGTTTGTATTAGAGAGAGAGACAGGTGTCTGTATTAGAGAGAGAAAGTTGTGCTTGTAATAGAGAGGAGTCTGCATAAGTGACAGCTGTCTATATTAGAGAGAGAGAGAGGGGTGTCTGTATTATAGAAAGGTGCTTGTAATAGAGAGAAGAGGCTGCATAAGTGAGAGGTGTCTGTATTAGAGAGAGGTGGTCTGTATTAGAGAGGTGTTTGTATTAGAGAGAAGTGTCTGTATTAGAGAAAGCTGCCTGCATTAGAGAGAGGTGTCTGTGTTAGAGAGATGTCCATAACAAAGTGGTGACTGTATGTGAAAGGTGTCTGTATTAGAGAGATGTCTGTATTGGAGAGTTGTACTGTATTGTATGTATTTGAGGGTTCCTATCAGGAGAGAATCAATGACACTGACAAACTTTGGCCAACCTGTACTTACACAAATTACACCAACTTACAATGACAATATGTTCTGGAAACTTGGTTCGGATTTCCTTTACAAATTCAACAAAATGTTCAGAGTATCCGTTGGCAACATCAAGACAAATTGCTCGAATTTCAGGAATACTGTTTAAAACACTGGCGATTTTTTCCACATCTTTGGTCATCATACCACAACTTGCAATGGTATACTGGAAAATTTAAATGGTAAGTAAGATGGCATGGAAGTGCTACAAAGAAATGTAAAACAGGAATTTATGTGGATCACTTGTTTAACACGTGATGGACCATATAATTATAAAGTAATATTAACAATTTGGTAGGAAGTTTTGTGGTTATATTTGAAGACTATACTCATTAAGACTCGTGTATTGCTAGTCTCTATGATTCATTGTATCTGTGGGACTTTTCAGCTATATTTTAACCTTTCATTGCATCCCAATGCACATTACTTTGCTATTTTACTGTGTCTAATACCGGACTAGTACACTCTGTCTATAATGCCAGACAATTTTATTCATCAAGGAGCGAGTGCTGGTGCCCACTCTCAGCCACACAGAGAAATTTCCCCATTGTCTACCAGAATTTGGAAAAGAAATATAGCTCTAATGGGCCCCTAAACGTAGCTCTGTTAAGGGGGTACATATGGTAAATAAAAATGTGGAGAACAATATATCATTTTCATTGTAATTATCTAATCAAGTCTACCGGTAGAATATCAGGATTTTCTGAGGCAAATTCTTTCCATTCTTCAACAGTGTAATGCTTGTGTATAGCTGTCAACATTTTGTGCTTGATAATACAATAGAGATATCATTGTTAGTAAGATCAAGGAGAATAGGGTGGGCAGACTTGTCCCCCAGTCTGCCCCATGACTAGGCATCTGTATGACATTAAAGGAATACTAAATGGTTTTCTGTGCAGGATTGCATAATCCATGCACGAAAGATGTCGTGAGACTTTCGGAAAGTGTAAAAATACTCGAACCGCAGGTGAGTAGGGCAGAGGTCTAGTTTACCTTGCCAATTTCTTTGGCCATTGTGAATGTTCCTGTGGTGTCCATATTAGAAACTATGATGGGAATAACATCCTCAGGAAATGATTTCTTTGAATGTCGGTGGACGACATGCCACGAGAGGTCAACCTGATAAAGAAATTTGAATTTAATTTTATTCCACCTTCCACCCTCAGTAGTACTACCTTAGAAACAAACAAACTTCTTCTAGGGTTAGGGATGGGATCGATTTAATTGATACAAATAAATTTAATTCACAGTATAAACCATGCCTGACAGTCAAGTGAGATCTCCCTGTGTAGTTATTTCTATAGTAAATACTACTTTGTGTTTATATGGAGAACTGGGCTGGCCACATGAAAAAGGGGTCTTGGGGAAAACACTCACTGAACAGGCTTGAAATACTGTGTTATAAACCATATAAAGCCGCATGCAATCCTCCCACACAGAATATTAATGTGCTATACTGGCTGGTGTTTGGCATAAAGTATTGTTTATGTATTAACTTAATTTACCCAACAAAGGCACAAAATCAAAATGGAATAAAAAAATGTCCGACCAAGTTTTGAAAGTTTCCGATCAAATTTCATTTTGGCCGGACATTCTTCCAGACAAATTTTGAACGTAATATATGTGGTTCTGCTCTGTATATTAATAATATAACACCAGGCAATTTGGCAGCATTTGGGCCAGATAGCCTGGGTAACCTGTATATGGGGCCCTGTTGGGGGTAAGTTGCGACAGCCGACAGGGCCCTTTTTTAGGCGACAGTGCAGTTTTGAAATCCTGACGAACGACAGTAAAGAAGGGCAAAAAAGAGCGACAGCGACACTGTTTTATATATTTTCGACAGCGACAGTGCTATACTTTAAAAACGACAACGACGTTGGCATAGAGAAGGCTCAGACATTCAGTCTACTCAAGTTTCTGTAATTGGGCTAGCAATAAACAGTCGAAATGCATTTTGTCGTAACTTGTTAATATTAACAAGTTACTACAAAATGGTTATACAATGAGACCGATATACAAGAAACGTGTTGTCGACGTGATTGCGACTATTCTTGCAAAATTCTGACGGCGACATTTGACATGTTTCAAAAAGCGACATTGACGATTTTAAAACTGCGACAGCCGACATCACCACCCCCCC